GAGAGTTCTCCTCTCTCTCTCTCGGACGTTGTAACGGCACTCGAAACGTCGCCGCTGCTGCTGCACGTCTCTCCCTCGTTTCATCTCCTCCGGCAAGGCTCTTCTTCGCCTCTCCTCGCCAGCCAGCCACGCTCGTACGCACGCATTCACGCACACGTCCACGTGCTACTACGCACGCACGCTTCACCCACACAAGCTGAAGAGACGAACGCGTTGGCGACCGGTTCTCTCGATCGGGGCACCAAACAAACACGCGTCGACCGACAACAACGGTATATACACCGATCTTCGTCGCGTCTCACGAACCCCCGCGTACCGTGTTTTTAGGCTTCTTCGCCCCCTTCGGTTCCGCCTCGACGCTTCCCGTACGAACGGAGAGCTGCTGCTCGCTCGCTCGCTCGCTTCCCCCGCGAATTTACGAGCCGGGACCGCGGCGAGTTTCTAAATTATTCGGAAGTCGGTGAAATTTCGAGGGAAGCCGACGTTTGTTCGGTGCATCGTGGAACGTTCTTTATTATCCTGCGCCGGGTGCACCGCCGATGCTTTCCGTGCTGGAAGAATGGGTCTTTTGGGGAAAGAGAAATCGACGGGGTATTTCGTGTTTCCCAGTAACAGACGTTTAAATTCTATTGAATTTCTTTTGGGGCTTGTTTTCTTTCTTGTTGTTAAGAAATAGATCCAAGATAAGGATTTAAACGTTGCGACAGCGGTTAATCAATAAGGGTGCGCTGCAACATTCTTGCTCGTATTCCCTGTTTTTCATACGTATCGAGGGTTATTGATATTCGTAGATGGTCGATTAGGTTTCTTATATCGCCGGTATGTAGAGCTGTTTTTAGCGAAACCGTAGTTTACAACAAGGAACTGGACGAATGGTAATTAGTCTGACGTAAATTGATGATAAGAGTACGGAACGTTTAATTACACGAGCAAGGAATCGACGAAACCCATCTGCATATATAATACGTAGAGGAACATGCTTGGCATTAATTGTGGACGAAAAAGGAAACTGTTTCGTATGATACGTTATTTAAATAAACGATCGAACCAGCCGCTTTACTGCGTTTTACGCGAGATTTCTGCTCGGAAGCGCGTTGCCCCGCAAACGGCAAACGGTATATCCTAGCCGGGGGAATATTCACGACTCCCGCCGTAGGCCAAGCAGATTACAAAAGCGTTCCGTTGAATTAAAGTTTAATGAGAGACAACGTTTCCCCTGGAAACCGCAATCTGGTTGCAAGACTGCCAATGAATTGTACGGAATGACGATTAAAAAATGCCGGTGCTGCGTTTAAAATTAGTCGCTGCGAAACGGTACCTCGACCGAGTCGCTCGGTTAAATAATTGTTTCCACAGGCTAGTCACGATCCATTTTTAAACTAGAAAATATCAAAACCGGTTGCAACCGTTTCCTTGCAAAAATATTCGCAAAAGCGTATTATATTCCACGGGCTACGACTCTCCTCCGACCATACCGAACACACTTGATCGTGTCGTAAATCTTCCTACGCGCGGAACGATCAGAACCGTTCTGAAAGATACAAGAGAGCGAGAGAAAAAAGAGAAAAAACGAAAGGTGCATCTTTGAGGCGAGTGGAATTTATAGTCGGCTGGGTGTGTGGATCGTCCAATTTACGATTTTACGAACCGATCTTGTACCGAAGAGAGAGAAACTGGGATGTAGCTTAATTGGAAGTGTAGCTCGCGGAGATATTATTTCTCGCCAGTTCTGTTTGCGGATTAGTCAGAGGGTGACTACGTGGGGTGCCCTACGAGACATCTTCTGAATCATTCTCTCCCGGTGGCGTCACAAAGATTCACCGGTTACTAGTTTTAGACCGCCCTCCTCCTCGGCCTCACAAGGGACACGCTCGCGCGACAATTTAAATAGTGTTTACCACGCGGCCCCGCTCTCGTGGCTAACAAGTGGATACACTACACAAGACTCGGTCAAACAAGTAACTGTTGTCCGCTTTGGTTTACTCTCTGGCCGACAAACAAATGAATTTAAATACCGGAGAGGGCATTGCGCCTCGATTCGAGAACGCGTCTCGATAACGTATCGACGTGTGTCCGCAATCGTATCAGTCTGAACATGATAAAGTAATCGTGAGGAATTTATACTTGCGCAGTGCGCCAGGGAATTAAGTGGTACTGTTCTCTTTTGCTCTTGAAAATTCTGCTTCTACCCGGGGAATTTCATTACCATCCGCGGAGATATTTCAATAATTCGATTCCCTGCCACGTGTACCGTTCGTCGATGCAAATTGAACTTTTGTTTCGACAAAGAATGTACGGGAGAATAATTCGTTTTATCGTCGATTTTGGTTTTCAGTTTTAAGGCAAAAAATAAATAAATACGCAACACGTGTACCGTTCGCGGTATTTAAATTAAAAGTCGCGTAAAAACGGTCCGACAGGGACTGCGTTATCTTATCTCTCTCGATTTAAAGTTTCCTGTTTCTCAATATATTAAGAGAAATAGTAGCGGCAGTTGTGTACGAAATTAGAATGGAACTATGTCTGTAAACACGGAATCGTGTCGCTGCTTATAAATGACTCATATTCAGGAATCACGGGTGCTATTTTGAACAGGTCGTACTCTCGACATTTTTTCGTTCCCGTCCGACTACGATCGATCACAGTGAACCGTGATGTTAGCCCGTTAACTGGGTTCATCTCTAAAGAAAAACGAAATCTCTCTGGTTTATAATACAAGATTTAAAAAAAATTATACCTGTCACTCTATTTTTATTTTTGCAAATGGGAATATAAAATTGAATAATCCCTCGGCGGTTCGGATATCAATAACGAGTTAACGTCGTATCGCGATACATATTGCCATCGCGAATGTGACCAGATGGCAATAGAGGCAGACGATCGGTGTAAACATCGAAACAATGTTTCGTTGATGTCCTTCCGCAGGCCAAATCGAACAGCTGCAAATGCAACGGGTGGAAAATAATAATCCCGAAAAGATTTATCGCGTCGAGCCACACACACGTTGTACGATGAAATACAATGTGACACGGATGAAAATCGACTCGACAGACCACCGATAAACTACCCGTACACGCGTCCGGTCCAACACGCGCATCCTCCTCGTTTTCTTTCTCGGAATATACATACGTAAATAAATTGACGGTGTGGCCGAAGAGCAAACAGAACGTTCCATCTGTCCGTTTAAATTGCACGGGGTAACTGTAGGAAAATATAAACAACACCCGGTTGAAAAGTGTCCAAGAACTGAAATGTAACGTGAACACGGTAGAGGAGATTTGGACGCAGCCAGGCCGGGTCCTAACGTTTCGCGTAATTTCGAACCTGAAGGAAGTCGTCGTTTAAATGTCAACACGTACTTCAGCGGAAAATTTCGCACGATTTCACCGGGTCTCACAAAGGGCGGCGGGCTTAACGGAGCCGACTATTTGCGCGTTTACCGGACGGCCCAACACGTTTCGCGTTACGATTTAAACGGCCATCAATTATAGATCACAGGCTGTAATCGAGCATCGGTACGTAGCCACTTGGTACGAATACCGAGAAACCTGGGCTAATCGATAAATATACCTTCTATTTCCGACATCGTGCAAAAGCGTTAACCTTCCTATTGCGCCCCTTTAAATCACCGATCCGTTTGCAACGCTTCCAATCGTCTTTCTATTCCTACACCGAGAAAATTCAAATTCCTTTCATCCGCCACGTACACGGAACAACATTCCAAGTATACGCCGTAAAGTGTGCTGAGAGGAAAAAACGACAAGGCGAATCGAATGGTCGAATTTGAAATCGGTTGAAAAGTGACCGATCGTGTGGCGTTCTACCAGATGTAAACGCGATTTCGAGATACAGGTCGAATTACCTAGCTCACCGGGGGAACTGGCACGCAATTCTACGTTGAATCGGAACCGTAATCTTGCGATCAATTAGACGAGGCCTCGTCGAGAAGCAGCGTTTCTACGATTCTCCAAGGCCTGATTCGGTCGGCCGCGTCGAAGATCGTTCGGCGTCGTAATTGCGCCGTTTTAGAAACGATCTCGGTAACCTCGATTACGTGCACGCGTTTCCAACGGACGCGACGCGACGGCCAGGTGAGAAGCAAGCTCGGAACACGTTTAATTCAAGGTCCACACGCCGCAGCCTACTGTGTTTCACTAGCAAACGCGGCGACGTTTCCATCGACACCGTTGATCGATCTCCCGTAACGCGACGTCAACTTGCGACACTTCGGGTGTTCCAAGTAGGGGGAAAAAGGCGAAGTAAACGATTCTCGTGTTAACGTGTCTGTTGGTGTTAAACGTATCAAGGATCATCCTACCTTTAAGAGAAGTTCCCGTTGCGGGACGTCGAGTAATCCACAGGGAGGCAGAGAGGGTAGAAATCCACAAACAGTACAGCTCCGTGCTCGAGGAGAGTAGCTTGTCCACCAACAAATCGTACGCACTAATCGTTCGTCGCCGAGTCGTGTATGTTTTAAGTGTACGGATATACACGAGTGGATTTTTCAAACCGTACAGCACTACCGTGTGGGCTTTTATTCGACACGAGTACGAAGGACAGACAGAGAAAGAGAGAGAGAGAGAAAGAGGAGTTTGAGTACGCAGCCACCTACGGGGGACGAGTGTGTCGCAAACAACGGAGACGAGCGAAGAAAACCGACTGAACCGGCTCACCGTGAGGGACTGACGATGCTCTTCGATTGCTGGCTGCTCGTTCCGCAGCCTCTGCGCTCGGTTCTCGACGCGAGCGTTCGACGCCAGTCGACTACCTCCGGCTAGCTTCGACCTTTCTCGAGTCCCTGAGTCGAACTTCCACAGGTAGAGGAGTGGGGATTGGCCAGGAGTAAGAAAGATGAAACGTGCTATAGGAGGCTGGCCACAGGCCTGGCAACCTCGACGAACTTTTGCTCGGGTCGAGGCCGTACGAGCGTTTCTGTTTTCGTGCTGGAATTAAAGAGCCTCCTCCCTCGGGATCGGTCCAATGATAACGCAGAATGCACCGTCCCGTGTACCCTCGTGTTACGCAATCGATCGACTTCGAGACATTCTTGCGAGAGAGAGAGAGACTGGCGACCTCGAACCGAGTGGACCGAGAGAACATTCTTATCGTGGAAATATTTCCTCGTCTAGTTGGAATTTGGTATTTGGAGTGATAGAAAGAAGACGTTGATAAGAATGCGAGAATTGTTTTCTTGTGGTCAATAGCAAAGACTAGGGTCATCGGCCTAGAACGTCGATCTTTGACCTTGCTTTAACACGACTGGTGTGATTCGACGTGCTTGCTTTTTTTAATTAATTTCTTCGATAGGCGTGATGCAATTTGTCCATGAGACACTTATTGCGCGATTATTAATTCAGAGTGTAGATAATTCCAGAACGATCTTATGTAAGCGTGTCAGAAAATGTCTAAAGTATGAAATGTTTAATACACTTTTTAAGAGTAAATAAATTTTCGACTGAATACTTCAAATACTATGTAAAAATTCTAATTTTCCATATAATCGTTTCAATGGCGAACTTGCGAAATTGCAAAATCTTCATTTTTCAGTTCAGAAGAGAACCACTTTGTCGATTAACCTAAAATCACTTTTTGCCGATTTCATAATACAAGTAGCACAGTTGATAGATAAAATGAGTGCAATCGTGATTTTACATTGACCAACAAAGTGGTTTTCCTCCGAAAAATTAAACGTCCAGTTTCACAGCCGCTCCAGCTGTAACAACATTCGAACAGGCTATTCGCGAAATGATCCTCGGAAACAATGTAACAGATCCTCCCGTAGGCGCCTAGTTCGTGTTTAACCGGGGAGCGCGCGTGTTGGTTCGGCTGGTTCGAAATTACGTCGGAAGAAGCCGGTAGCGAAATAAAGCGATACTTCTCTGTTTCTCTAATAATAGAGTAGACGGGGCGGCGTGTTGCTTCCAGATTAAATGCCGTCTAGGATCTGAGAAAGAGCCAAGGTCAGGACGTTCCCGAGATTGAACGATCAACGGTTGGATTTATTAGCAATTCCGCGCACCGATTTAGGGCGTTCCTTGTACGGGAAAGGGAAATGAGGAACGAGCACAGCGAGAAACATCCTGGCACGTTGGTGGATCGTGTGCTCGTAGACAGCTCGCCCATCGAAAGTCGATGGGAAATAGAAAGTACGTAATGCCATCGGTGTCCTCCAGGTTCGTCGGTGAAATGTTCAGGACGGAGGCACACGAGGCATTGCACGTGCACTAGAGTCATGAACCACAAAGGTCCTCGGCGAAAATGTTGAAATTGCGCGTACGGATCAGCAACTCTGTTGGAATTTCATCCGTGAATATTTTACTCTTAATGCCAATGCTACGAAGTTCTCTGTTAACTCGTTTCGTTCAGTTGCCTACGTTTAGCTGACCTTTGAAAGTAAATAATTAATCTTCGACGATTGGTAATGGACACGGAGGAAATATTTCTACGGAAGGAAATTTCTTCCTGTTTTTCAATTGTAACGTAATTAGAACGATGATATGAGTTGTTCGAGAGTATATCGACTGAGAGAAAACTAGTTCTGTGAAGTGAAGAAAAAGAAAAAGAAGATACCGTGTAGAACATCTGGATAAATCAAGGGAACGAAATAAAAGCTAAATATTTTCACTACCGTGAAACTCGGGCTGTCTTGTATCATCGTTGTCTTTAATGACTACACGCTTGGCCGGTGCCGCATTTAGACAAGAAAGCATAAACCAGTATCCACGAACCCACGAAAGTTAATAATAGTCCTTTACGAACTCCCTCGAAACGTCGTTATCACATTTTTTCTCGTCACTCGTTGCTCTATCATTTTTACGATATTCCCTTCGATTGAAAAAAGGAGCACCGGCAATTATAAGTGCTTGTAGAAACTGTAACTATAACCCGAAACGTTTATTATTTCATTAACGTCTTCTTTCATGTTTACCCTGCTAATTGTATTTTAAACTATGCTCGAACAAGCCTTATCTTCCCGAAAGAAATTCTTTCATATGCTGCGCATACCGCGAGTTAATTAGCCTTAGTGCGTGCCAACCGAGCATCGTAGCACAGTTTTATTAAAATCTGATTCCAATAAAGGGAAAATTCGCATCGAACACGATATCCCCTTGGCCAGTAACGTTCATGGGGATCCGCTCGTTTACGTGATCTCATGCGGCTGGCTACTGCAAAATTTATCGCAATACCAAAGGGCACGCGGAGTATGCAAACGAAATGGTCGATAACCACGATGCATGGCCGTATAATTAACTAGTATCTTTTACAGCGTGTTACACGCAAGAACCGGTAACAGATGCTTCAAAGACAGTCTGCGCCGGTCAGGAATCTCTTTGACGTTCTATTAGTCCATTACGACGATCGTGGCGATTAAACGGCTCCTGAAAAACTCATTGCAACGTATCGTATTCATCGTGGCGAACGTCTCTACATCTTTGTCGAGTCGCGTTATTACCCTATTAAGAGCTGCAACCTTCTCTTATTTGTCGTGGAACGGAAACACGGTCTGTTTATGACGAGCATTTAAACATAGAGGGGGAGACAGAGAGAGAGAGAAAAAAAGGCACTAAAAGGATGACGCGACGTTAATCTCTCAACATTAGTACGTGTTTATTGATCGCATCTTCTTGATAACGGGATTCCTCTTCGTCGGATTGTTGTGCCCGATACGTTCCTAATAATGTGAAAAACAACGTGTACGTTTCCACCGATGCAGCATTTTAATCTGACATTTCTCAACGAAAAGTCCAGTTAACACACAAGAATCATCGAGTAATCCAACTGTTTCAGTTGAAATAACAAAAAGAGATTTTAATGCGGCTCTAGTGTAATACACGCCTATCTCCTTGTGTTATCGTCACAGATCTACGCACAAATGTAAACCAGACGAGAAGAATGCACACCGGGAGGGAACTGGCAAGGGAGCAGGTTATCTGCTCGTTTGCCTAACAGGTGGATATTCCGTGGCCTGGTAAACACACGATAAAGGTGGTCCACCTATATGCAACGTTGGTATTTCAGATAACAGCCGAAAGGGGATCGTTGTTGCACCCGGTCGGCTCGCCGCCTGTAATTTCTCTCGCCACGAGACAATTAAAAAATTTTTCCGTCAGCATGGCCGAGGCGTATAGCGTTTAGGCCGGTTCAACCGAGCTCCCGTGTTCCTCCCGACCGATGCAACTTTTGTTTTTCCTAACCGCCTTTTTCCGCCTCGCTCTTTTTCCCAACCGCTGTGTTTCTCGCCCTCCCAACACGACCAGGCGAAACCCACCATTATCTACACGAGGGAAAAAACGACGAGCATTAATATATATTCAGCAGATCCCACCACGCCGCTGCAGATCATTATCCCCGACCGGGGAGAGGACGGATAATCCACGTTCGCGAGGTTCTTTCGAAACTCCCCCTTTTGTTGCACCGTGCATCCTCTCGAACGCTACTTTGCATTCGAACGTTCCTCCCGCGGAGAGTCACGAAATCGATATCTATACACTATCTCTCTCTCTCGCGCGCGCGCGGTATCATTAAAATTCGCCGTTATTCCGATTCGTGAAAAATTTTTTCAGCCCACCGTCGCTCGTAAAAGGATTTAACGCCATCCACCAAAGATTACAGTTTCGTTCTGCGTGATTTTACCCGTGAAGTGGCCCGTGCGAGAGGAAGGTACCGTAAGAACACCTCCATCGGCGCGTGGTTGAAGAGACTCGGGCGAAGTTTTATCGTGCCGATTTACAATGCGAGCTTTCATCGATGGGATTTACGGCCGGTACTTTTCTTCCACACATTGTAGTTTCATTATAACATATCGGCGTGCTCCGTTCTTTTTCGCCCGCTCAAAGGAACCGCTCGCGATTTGCATGGCCGAAAAAAATGAAGCACAACCACGACGCCGAAGGTAACGCGGTACGTTTACTACGGGAATGAAACTTCGCAAGAAGAAGAAGATGTACAAACGACACATCAAAGCAGTTTCTTCACCTTCGTTTCCCCAAGTTTTCTACGGGACACAGAAGCGCCGCGTTTCCAGGAACATCCGTTAAAGGAGAAACGCGCTCGTATACTTCTTTCGTTTGCCGAACGAACCAAATGAAAATATACGGGGCGAGTTTTATCAGATGCGATGCGTGTCTCTGTGAACAGTCATCCTCGTCGAAAATATCGTGTGCGTGTGTAGAAAGTCGCGTAATGTAGAAGACAAGGGTGAAAGACGAGGCAGGATTGTATATGTATATGGGTGCATAGTCAAAGAGGGTCGAAATTATCCCGGAGGAACGACTATACGTCGGTGTGCCTGTGGGCTTCTCTCGCTTTAAATTACAACCAGGAAGATGGTCGGCCCCCCCGACCATCTGGACCCTTTGTTTCACTCCGAAGCTCGTCCTTCCCCAAGGCACGCGATACGTACGCCTCAGAATCTCCTCCTCGGCAAACTGAAAATAAAGGACACCGGCGTATATTCCTCTCTTTGCTTTGCTCAAGCATCACAGGGGAGAGAAGCTTCTCTCGGCGCATATAGCGGGCTGGAACGACAGGAAGAAACGAGAATGCTTTCTTGCACACGACCACACTAATTGCTTTAATTGCAAGGGGAATGTAACCACGCCACGTAGAATGGGGCCTTAACGTTCTGACCTGGCAAAAAGATCCTGGTCACCTTCCACGAGACTTCGGGATCGTTGTTCGGATACCTGCTATCCTGGATTACCGAAAATCCACGTTTCCG